CTGAATCCCTTCCTCTTTATGCAATAAACTGCATTTCATTTTAACCAACAGCAATCCTACAAATCACATTCATTTCCTACCACAGCAGGAATAAAAATTCTTAATTTCCCCTCAGGCAAATGTTTACGTATTCACCAAACTTGAATGATTTACAGGCACCTACTGTGACATGCACTATTCAATATTTTGTCTTTAAATGCAAGATTATAAAGTTTTAGAATTGTGGAGAACAGAACAATGTGATATTCTGTTTTTTATAGTATTTCTGTAAGCCCTTAGGTACCATCCTGCACCAGATATAATGCCACTGACCTCCCTATGTGTATTACAGGCTGACACACAATGAAGAACTGTAGGGTTTATTTTAAATCCAGTCTCATGAAACAAAATAAACTTCAGCCCAGGAAATCTGGCAATGAATTGACACACATGAATTGTTGGTTGGTAATCTATCTGCTCTGTGTCCCACTGTAACACACATCAGGCAGGATCCCAGAGCCCCTGCACACAGTTTGCTTTAGCTTGGCTCTAACACCCCAGGGAGCAAAGCAATAGAACAGGGCTTGTCCTACTGGGTCCCAAATTTTAGTTCTGGGGCCCATTTCTCAGTTCTGCTCAGTACTGCTGGAAATACGCCAAGAAATCTGGTTCAGAATAAGAACAGCCTGTTCCAAGACAGTTTCTTTCATTTCAACATTTCAAACGCTCTTGAACACTTGGCTCGGCATCCAAAGCAGAAACTCTTAATTCCATCCTTAATTCTGTCTCCTGTATGACTGGAAGATTTTATCTTGACAATTTTGGTTACAGAATTGGGCACTTGGAATGAGAAATAAAATTCAAGAAGCAAATAGTGGTTTGTGGTAAATCTGCTGCATTCAAAATGCTGTTACATTAGAAAAACAACTTCAATTCTTGTACTGCAAGGAAACAAATCCATCTTCCATCTTCAAGGAACGAGAAAGTGTCAGCTTCTGGGATGTTAAAAATCATATAAATCCAAACTATATTTAAAAGTGTATTTGGCTAAATACAAATGTCAATACTATGTCTGTAAGCATCTTCATGAAAACCTGTGGCCTCCCACATTAAACCAAATTAAAAAAACAAATTTTTTTAATAATACTCATAAATGTGAGTAAAATATTTGAAAGGTGAATCTACATCAGAAGTTGTTCAATATTCACAGAAGCTTCTTTCATGAGTCTCTACTTTCTGCCTCAGGGGATCTTATGTATTTGTTCTTTTTTTTAGTCTTTTCTGAGGTCCTGTGACTGATCCTCCTTCATGGCTCCATGCAGTTCCCCATTCATGCACACTTCATCGTGCTTGTCAGGCTCAAGCAGCCAATATTCAAGGCTTTCAAGTTTCACCTCCTGGTCACTCACCCCAGCAATCTACATTGATTTCTCTCTTCTTGACTGCCAGGAGCTAAAAACAGCATGCTCTGAGAGCAAATTATTCACATGGGTAAAAGACTGCAGAATCAGAAAGGATAAAGATGAAAGCCAGTTGGCAGACAGCCATTAGTGGGAGAGACATTCTGCTTCCAAAATATGGCTTTCAAAAGGAAAGCGGAGATTATTAAAGGTATCATTAAATAGAATCACTGCTCTTTAAGAATGGCAGTATGTGGTTTTAACTGGAAGGATAAAAATAACATGAAATACTGTATCACTTACAAAACCAACCAGCTACAGTTTATTCCATTCATATTATAGCTCTGAACTGCCTCCCTTCCTAAGACTATTATTTCTTCTTTATTATATTTCTTTTTATTAAGCAGCTTAGAACTGTATTTATTTATTTTTTTTTTTTAGTACTGGGGTTATAAAAAGACCTGGATGATAAACTAATCCAAGGACATCTTGCCTGGTGATAGCTGGAAATGTGTTGGAAATGTGTTGGAACACAAAGAGGTCTCTGTTCTAAGTGAGAGCAGTAATTACCTGGCAAATAAAGATTCTCTCTGGAAGGCCCAGACTGCACAGCTGGAAATACACAGAATTTAGAGGCTGATTTAGGGCTCTGTAACAAATTCCACAGACAGAGAAGCATTTAATCAGGAGCCCACTCCTCCCATCAGGGCTGTGTGGAGCACTGTGCACAGCCAGGGTAGGATGTAGGTGCAACCAAAGGCAGTCCCCTCCTTCACAGTGCCCCTGCTCTATAGCCCCACGGGCAGAAGTGCAGCTCGTGAGGAGAAGGTGACTTTGCTGTCAGTGACACTTTGCACAGACCTGGTGAACTGAGAAATAGGAACATCAATTTGGCAAAGTATAAATTGCAAGCAGAGCTCCTACTGCATGCTTCAAGTATTAGTTAGAGCTGAGCAAGTCATCCTTATCTTACTGCAACAAGACCTTGTTTTAGGAACAGGAAAATTACTGGAAATGAAAGCATAGTTATCAGCTTGAAGTATTAGTTCCTTAAAAATCAACAGGAAAAGTTTCTCATAAATAGCACAAAGGCTAACCTTACTCAAAATCAGAATACGGACCACCAGTAACTAGAATGGAAAATGATACCTTACGTGTGGCTTTACTTTTCAAAGCCCAATCCCAGACCTCAACCACTATCATAAAAAAAGCAAAACTCAGTAATGGTCACCATATGCAGCTTCTTCAAACTCTTGATCCAAGAGTTGCTTTAGCCCTCTGCATAATGCATTATGTTCACACACTCTACCACCAGTACTCATATTTTATCCCAAGTGTTGAAATGCTGAGATTACTTATGTCTCAAGCTCCTGAATTCATGTGATTATGCAAGAAATCCAATTTTAATTAAAACCAAATTTCTAGCGCTTCCTATGGAGAAGAAAATCTTCAAAATGGGACTACCAAAGTTGCAAAACTCCAAGTACCCATAAACAGGCACAAAATACACTGCTTATTAAATCAGACTATTCTTAAGGTACTCTTAAGGCTGTGGGAGACAAACTGGAGCTGGAACTCCTGATACCATGCTGTCATGCAGTATCTTAAGCAATCTCTGCCTGCAGAAACCAGGCAAAATAGAACAAATTCATAGAAATCATTAGGAAAAATAACAATGGAAGCCCAAAGAGCTGCACACTCAACCTGGGTGGAGATGGGGATGCCTCATCCTGCAGTGGTTCAGTGCTGCTGACATTTCTTTCACAGGAAAAGCCATCACATGCACTGGGTGAGTTAATGTTTTCTCAGACTACACATGAAGTCTCATCTCCAGCCATGTGGAACTCTGACTGACAGCCTTAGCAGGCTTGTGCATGTCAGGAACAGTATAAAGTTGCTATCTGCATGAACTGAACAGCTGTGGAGACAGAAGTTACTTTGGTTCTGCTAGAAGAATAATGACAGTTCTGAAAATTCCCCTTTTCTCCTCACCTATATGAATCCAGGCCCTGTTCCAGACTGTTTCTCATTAACTGGTAGTCTGGTTTTGTTCCCATCACAGCTGAACAGATTGGATATTTTCTAATCATTTCACCCATCCCTGACATATCAACACCCAAACAATTCTCCAGCCAAAAGAAAACATTTGACAGATCTCCACTGTTAGAACACTCTAACCTGCACTTACAGGAAGATATTAAATTAATCCTGCAAAAGCAACAAGGTTGCTATGTTATCAGATGCCTATGCTATTTCTCTAAATTAGATTATTTCTAATTTGTCTTTTCCTTTCATTAATCAGCATAATCAGGTTAAAGTTACAGTCACATGTTTCCAGCTTGGACTTGTTTGCTGCATCTGAGTCAGACTTCAAGAGAAGTTGGAGTGTCCCAAAGCTTCTGTTTCTCCCTCTAATATCAGCTCTATAAAAGATGGCATCTCTCACTACAAACACCACTTCATTTTAAAGGGGAAAAGCCTTGATGTAACACTCCTGAACCCAAACTTCCCACCAGTGCTTGTGGATGATGCAGTGGGTGCCCCATATGAATTAATTCAAAGGTTTTTAATACTGCTTTTAGAAAAAAACACTGTGTGAGCATCAGAACCACACAATCTGGTCCTTCACTTGTCCCAAATCTTTAACCTGAGCATCAGCAAAAGTGCAAGTTGGCATTGGAGGATTTAGAGACTCTCTTTTCCTCATGGATTTTCTGGTAACTGGGTGTTGTATTAACTCAATCTTCTATGCACAAATTGAGTTATTAATCTTTTTGACAATTACATTAACTTAATTACCTCTGTAGAGTTTAATTGATGCTCTAGTGATTACACCAAGGTGACAAAATATGAGGCTACCTAGGAGAGCTTTTGGTATGGTTGGGTAGTCACTTTTTTGCCTGTCAAAAACGTCTGACAATGAATGATAAAAACATAAAACAAGCCCCAAAACATGGAATCCATACTTGCAGAAAACAGCTCAGCCTCCAACTCCCTCAGGAATACTTCTCTCAGGAAAAACATACCAACAGCAACAGAAAAAAGCTTTTTTTGTTGCTATGGTTTAAAGGCAGATAGAATTTGGGAGGAAGGGAAAAAGGAAACCTAGCTAAGTGGCATATCAGAGGAAACCTAGGTAAGGTGACTTTTCTCGACTTCAGTCTTTGCATCTGCCAAATGGGAAAAACATAGATATACAATGTTGATATATGCATGTGAAAATGCTCTGTGTATGAGGGATAATGAACCTGTATCATCGATTTCAGTGGGCTCCAGAGCACACCAAACTGCCGTTCCACAGTTCTCCTCAGGAGTTCCATTAGTTCTTAAAATAATTTGATATATTTCTCCCATGCAGCTATCTGAGTACCTTCAGTGTTGTGCTGCCACATATTCACCCAATCCTTTATTTCTTCTTTCTCAGATCCTATCACCCACTGAAAATACACCAGGTCTATTGTTTCCTTAAGTCCTGACACTCACGTATATAACTTTTACAGCCAAATAAACACATCGTAGAATCTTTGCTATCAAATCCCAGCAGCTTTTTCTGGAGCTACAGCAGCTCGTTATCCCCACCTGGAGGACGGACCGACCCCTCAAGGACCCGCGTTCACTCACAGTTAGTCTCTGTCTCCGAAGGCACGTGTGAAACTCGGCAGGAACCCCAGCAGGACTCGCACGTGTGTGGCTCACATCCAGCACAGGACACACGGACGTGTGCATCACATTGTGAAAAACACAGTTCACTCCTTAGAATTTTTAAAAGTTTAATAAAGGATAAAAGAAGGACAAACAATGCAGCACTGGGGTGTTTTTGGTGAACGGCCAAAGAGCACGGAGGCAGCTTAAAATCCTGTTCTCTATATACGGTTACATTGCTGGGGTTACATGCATATTCATTAGCTTACACATGATTCAAACATTCTTTTGAGGTTTTGATGTTTTAGGAACTCTCTTGCTTGGTTTTAACTTCTGACTTGTCTGCAGGACGTTCTGTAAATTAGGTCTATGTATTTTATTTCTTGTGGTTTTATCCTGTTGGTTCACACTCCCTAATAGTGCTGATAGAGTTGATAAATCCTTCTCAGATGCTTATGCTCTGCTTTTTGTCACTGTTATCACTTGGAGAGGCCAGCTGGCAGATGTAAGAAACAGAATAATTGCTTTACACTATTTTCTGAGTTAGTTATATGGAAGTATTTTAGTTTCTATTTTAACATTTTTCTAAAGCCTACAATATATTTATTACATTTTTATTCATATGAACAGTGCATAAACTGACAGATTATACAAAGGAGTTAAAAGTAAGTATAAGTTGTACCATATCAAAATACTTGTGATGCAAAAAGCTAATCTGTGAATGTGAAAGCTAGTATTATCATCTATAACAACATCCAGCACAGGACACACACACATGTGTGCTGTAGTTTGGACAGAACTGTCCTTGAGAGCAGTCAGGAGGGCTGTGGTACCAGGAACACCACGAGTGTTTCACAGATCTCTGGTTCTGACAGAACCCCTGGAGCACCAAACACGGGTTATGGGGCACTCCCTCGAGGGCAGAGGCCCTGCAGAGGACCTTGGTAAATCAAAGGTCTGGGCAGTAACCAAGCATGTGGAACTTAACAAGAGTGACTGATTCTGCACCTAGGACAGGGCAATCCTGGCTCTGTGAATGGGCTGGGGAATGAGAGGCTGTGGGAAGGGACCTGGGGGTCCTGGAAGGCTGGATGGGAGTCACCATTGCCCTGGCAGCCAGGAGGGACAGCATGTCCTGGGGGACATCAGGCCCAGCATGGCCAGCCAGGCAAGGAAGGGGATTGTCCCCTCTGCTCTGCTCTGCTCTGGGGTAGCCTCACCTTGAATGTTGTGTGCCATTTTGGGCACCACAGTATAAAAAAAGACATTAAGCTATTAGAGAGCATCCAAATGAGGGACATGAGGATGGGGAAGGGTCTGGAGGGGAAGCCTTATGAGATGTGGCTGAGGACACTTTGCCTCATTGTGGGCAGTGCAGGGGCAGGCAGTGGTCTCACCTCTGCCGACAGGGACAGAACTCGAGGCAATGGAGCAAAGCTGAGTCAGGGGAGGTTTAGTCTGGATATTGGGAAAAGCTTCTTCCCCCAGAGGGTGGCTGAGCACTGGAGGAGACTCCCCAGGGCAGCACTCAGGGGTCTGAACCTGACATAGCTCAAGAAGTGTTTGGATCACACCCTCAAGCAGGCACAGGGTGAGATTGCTGGGGTGTTAAAAAATAACAATATAATATTGTCTTTCACATTTACTGTTGTTACTGATCATAAGTATTTGGATATGGTACAATTTGTAACTCCTTTTAGCTGCACATTATTGTAACACAATTTATTAGTTTTGCACTGTATAGCTCACAGAAATAATCGTGTGATGAATATATTATATCTATGTATGCACCATATAGCTTATAGAAACAGTGGTGTGATAAATGTATTATATTGTAAGCCCTAGCAAAACGTGAAATATTAAAATGTTTCTATGTAACTAAGAGAGCGGTATGAAGCAATTATGTTGTTTTTCCCACATCTGCTGAGGGACCTCTCCAAGTGATAACAGTGACACAAACCAGAGAAGAGTTAGAGAAGAACTTGTAAACTCCTCGTTCTCAGGGAAGTGTGAAGCAACAGGATGAGAGAATAAAATATATTAACCTGATCTACAGAATGTCATGCAGATAAGGCAGCATGTAAGGCCAAAGAAAAGAGTTTCTGCAACATTAAAAGCTCCCAAAAATGTTTGAATAATGTATGAAACACATGAATATGTATAAACCTCAGTAATGTAACAGTATGTAGATAACACTGTCTTAATCTACCGGTGTGTTCTTTGGCCGATGGCCAGAAACGCCTCAGCGCTGGACATTGTCCCTCTTTGTCCCCTTACTAAACTTTTAAAGATTCTAAAGCATGAACTCTGTTTTTCCCACGGGTGACCTGCGCCCTGGGTCTCGGCGGTCGCTGTGGCGGCTCCAGCTCAGGAACATTCCAGCGCCCCCCCTCAGCGCCGCGCGCCCCCCTCAGCGCCGCGCGCCC